AGCATAATTTAATAGTGATGTTAGTCATCTTTTAAAAACAATATATAATTTATAACCATAATAGGGTTAAGTCATTGAGTCAATTCACAATTAGATTAATTAAAACAAATCATAATACAAGAATATTCCATAATGAATTTACTTATATTAATGTAAGATAAATCAGATATTGATTCCTAGTGAATTTTAATATTCCTACCTAGTTAATACTGCTCATTCTATTTAGTCCATAATTGGATTATAATTTCTATGGGATTGTTTGGGTTGGGAGGTTACATGTTGATATCTCGTTATTTCACTATTTCCTATTATCTGAACCATTAAAGATGTCATTTAGTTAAAATTTTAATTTGGTGATAATATTAGCATATGTACTATTTAACGCTTTCATGCTTGCCTGAAAATTACACACTTTGTCCAGATTTTTGTAATATAAATGGATTCCAATACCTTACATTTATAGTTTGCCCTATGTAACATGTGCTCTTCTTATTTTCATCAGTACTATTTTGACAGTTTCTACAATTTATTTTATATATGATGTCTGTTTTATTGTCTTTGTTTATTTTATCTTTATTATTAGTGTAAATGTTCTGAATTTTGTTTATTGGTTTTCTGCTGAACTTTAAATGTGACAAATCATATTTTTTGATAGTGTTAATTATTTTATCTATGAGGCTATTAATTTGTGTTGTAGAGTAAAATTTTGAGTTTATGTGTTGGTACTTACAATTATTTCTTTCACTGTTTTCATCTGTATTGGTGGATGATGGTTCACTGTAGTTTATTGGTTTGAAAAATGGGTAATTAATTTATTTGTACTATTATTGAATACACAAGTATATGCAGATGACATTGCTATCCTAATAGGAGGGAAGTATCAGAGCGTTCTCTCTGATCTCCTCAAAACAGTACCAGACATTATGAGGAATTAGTGCAGCACTAATGGGCTGAGCATCAACCCAAAGAAAGTCAGTGTTTGCATCTTCACTAAGAAGAAAAATATGTTTATCTAAATTCCAGAGATTAATGGTATCTAATTGACACATAGCAAGGAAATGAAACACATTGGAGTCGTACTGAACCATAAATTGTCATGGAACAAACACGTTCAGTACATGACAAGTAAAGCCCTTAAACACCTATGGCTCTGCAAAAGAGCAATAGGAAAAAATTGGGGACTCAAACCTAAAATGGTATACTGGCTGTATTTAACGACAGTCAGACCCATTATATTATACTCAGCTTTGCTGTGGTGGCACAAAGCAAAGGCTGTAGTTAATTCAACCTTATTAGGAAAAATTCAAAGATTTAGTCTGTCTAATGATAACAGGAGCAATGGGCTCCACCCTAACTGCTGCTATGTTGATAATGTTGAACATGCCACCATTGCAGTTGGAGGTTGAGGCTCAGGAAACAAATGCATTATACAGGCTGAGTAAGCTAAAGAGCTGCTCCTACATCCCTTGCCAAGGGGGACATACAACACATAAGCTAATCCATGAGTATTGGGACTGCAAATATGAGATCCAGATACCAGCAACCAACGTAAACAAAAAAATGGTATAAATCGTTACACAGATGGCTCTCTAACAGCCTACGGCTCAGGAGCAGCCATCCATCGAAAAGATAACAAAGAAATAGTCTCAATACCTCTTGGCAAACACGCTTTGGTATTTCAATCTAAGATACTAGCAATTTGCCATTGCGCTCAAAACCTACTGCTAGCAAAGTGACTGGGAAAAAGATAATGATCTATACTGACAGTCAGATAGCAATAGATGCTCTAAATAATTATTATGTATACTCAGAGGTTATTAAAGAATGCAGTATAGCACTTAACAATCTGTCTGAGCTTAATTGAGTTGGTGCCTGGTCATTTGGGCATTCTAGGCAACAAAGAGGGAGAAAATCTAACCAGGTTTGGCTCAGACACTATTCTCATAACTCCTGAACCTGTTTGTGCAATCAGTCTTAGCACTGCCAGAAGAAGGACTGGACACTGGACCGAGAAGAAACAACGACATTCGAAGCTATTCCTTGAAGGTCTATGTGATAAAAGAAGTAAACTGCTACTGAGTTTGGACAGAGCAACTCTCAAAAAGCTTACAGTGATCAATACTGGTCATTGTAAGTTAAATTATGACATGTTCAATCTTTATTGTCATTTTTTCTACTACCATCAATATATTTAACAACCATTGTTATTTCTTTATTGTATTCATTTGTTGCTCCATCTAGAACCTGATTCATAATTAATCCTGCCAGATTCGTGCTCATGGACGATTCCATTGAGATGCAACTGATCTTTTTATATATGAAGAAATTGTTCTCCCTGCATAATTTAACACCTGTGTATAATTTAAGATTTTTAATTTCAGTGTATGGTGCTATTTTATCTCAGTTTCTTTCAATTATTTTTATTACTTCATTCATGTTGATGTTTGTGAATAAATTTTCTACATCAAAACTGACGAAGCAATATTTGTTATCCGTTTTTTTTTTTTTTTTTCTAAGGTTACTTTGTTCTCCTTTGAGTTTTTAACATCTTATTTATTGTCATATTTTTGGTTCTTGAGTGTGGGATTAAGATATTTCGCTAATCTCTCACTAACAATGGGCCTCAGTGGAGTACCACTTTTGTGTAACTTTACAATCTCATGTATCCTTGGCGTAATATAGTTGGGATTAATTCATTTTATTTTTTAAAGAAATTATTCTTTAATAATTTATCAATGGCTTTATATACACTCTTAGAGGGGTCACATAGAATTTTCCTGTATATTAGATCATTATCCAACAGATTCTTCATTTTATTATCACAATCGGCATATTCCATTATCACTGTTTTCTTAGTTTTATCATACTTAATTATATTTAGTGCTGTATTATTTAAAAAAAATTGTTTAGTATTCCTTAAATCCATATTAATCTTACTGTGTAGTCTGAGTTTCATATTATCATCCAAATTATTCCTTTTGGTATTGTTTATTTTTTTGTCCAACAAATTAATATAATTATTTATATCATAACGTATACATGCTTTATGATTTTTGGGAATTAAAATGTCATTGGCTATTACTTCAATGTCAGCCATTGTACTAATAATTTCTTTACTGTTATTATTAGGTATTGTATTAAAATTTTCTAAGGCCAATAAAAAGGCCAATAAATTGGTTATGTTATTTGGAATGTCTGTTTTACTTAAATTGATCACTCTGTTGGTTTTGTGCATGTCATGATATTTATTAATGATGCTCTCATCTCTAAGAACATCATTGTCAATGTGAATTCTGTTTATATTATTAGAATCGAATAATGATGATAAGATGAATAATTTGTTACTGGAATAGTATGGTTTACTAAATTTTGGTTTGTAAATTACATTACATTATTCCAATTCTATTAATGCTATTTTTTTTTTTTATTCTGTCATTATGGTAAATAAGATATGTTTAACATGCTCCTTGCTTCATTCCTTGCATCTACCTGGGTCTTGCATTCTTCATCATACCAGTCATTTATTGCTGGTTTCTGAACTTCACCAAGCTCTTCTGCCGCTGTGGTTGCAAGGGCTTCTTTCATCTTTGTCCACCTTGAGTCGATAATAAGTACTTTCTGGTGATTGGTGAGCTCAGTAACATTAATTAGAAACCTCTGCCTCACATTTTCTTCTTTAAAACGCTCGACAGCAAATCATGGGACAGGTTTCTCAGCTCTTCCCCTGGTTCTTAATGCAATCTTTTGTCGTATTTCACCCTCACCAAATGATGGTCTGAACCACAGACAGCTCCACGAAAGCTTCTCATATCCGCTATGTCTATTGCATGTCTTGCCTGGATCAGCACATGGTCATTCTGGTTGCATGTTTGCCCATCTGGAGATACCCAAGTCTCCTTGTGTATGTTCATGAGGGAAGTAGGTAGGACTGACTGACATGTTCCTTTCCATAGTGAAGTCCACTATTCTAAACCACTTTGTCATTGGTTTGGTCATGCTTACTGTGGAGTCCTATGCTGGGTCTAATGAAATCTTCCTTACCTATTTTTGCGATATAAAAAAATCTTTATTAACAAACTAGGATCTTCTGTCATTACCAAGCAAGCAAACATAATCTAATGAAATGGTTTTTAGTTTTAAGGAAGGAAAATGTTAAGGGTATGCAGGACGGTGGGTGTTGGAGATAGTTGGATAACTCCCCTTCCTCTTCGGATACATTAATTTTCATTTGTAATATTTAATTTTATATAAATTTTAATTAATTTGTCATTACCCTTGGCATAAATGTTTAATGTATATTAATTTCTAAGGGACCATTTTTTCTGTGCATCAAATTAATTGTTGATTCCCTTTCTCAAAACACAGGTTTTTTGTTTCTTGGAAGATACTGACTAATCTTTAAAAGCCTAATTTCTGATATCACAAGAGATTTGCTCATGTTTTTAAATGTTTCAATGAAATAGATTTAATGTCATGTAATTATTTAAATTATAATTTTTATTAATTTAATGAATTAAACACAACTAAAAAAAAACACTGAAAATATATCTATTTTAATGCGAAATTGCAACAAAGCAAAATGCTATAGAATTTTTTACTTTAAACTTGATATCCAATATTGGTGAAAATATCTCAATTTTAACCAGTGATTAAAAAATCTGCTTTCCTTTTAACGCACTTATTCTTATCTTATCAACTTCATTATTATCTGTTATCATTATGTTATTGAATTCACATTTGGTAATTTTTTTTTGATATTTTGTTTTAATTTTAATTTTAACTATTTATAGATTTACTCTTAGAAATAATTTATATTCCTCATCAATTTATTTACTTTTTTTCTGTTTCTTATAATTTATAGTATAAGTATCTTTAAGTAGAAAAATATTTTGAAGTTTTTTTTAAAAATAGTTATAGACATTTAAAAAAAATTTAGTTCATATTATCTCCTTTCTAATTTTTATAATTGTTATATCTTGAATATAGCTTAATTTTTTCAGAACCGTTGCACCCAGCCTATATCCTACATATTAGGATGGAAAAATGACGGTTCTTTAAAAGATGTCACACGACGTTATGCCCTTCCATGGTTGACCAAAAAGCATAGGATAGAGCCAGAGTGGTGGGCTAAGACTTTGCTGCCATTTTTGTGTAAGAATTATGAACTTGACGTAATGGAAGAGGACCAACTTAATGAAATAATGGAGAAAGCTCCCATGCCCAGTAGCATAAATGAGTACGTTATTATTTTTTTTTATTTAAAAAAATATACGTGATTTAATAATTATGTGAGGCATCCAGTCCCAAAACAGCTAGTTCCAAACTATTAAAAAAAAATTATGCCTTTTTGTAATTTTTATGGGCTAGTACATTTTTAAGTAGTAAAAGTATTTCTTTCAAAACAAACTATGTCTTTTATACAAACCTTTAAATAACATGTATATTTCAAAACTTGCTGGATCCATAGTTACCACTGTAAATGATAGAGTGCTTGCTTGCCATGTTCTGAACAGTCACTTCATGTATCGTTAGGAGTTTGGTAAAGATTGAGAACATTTTGGGTTTGATTCATATCTGAGTCAGTTAACATTTATTTCTCGGCAGTCCTAAAAAATGAATCTTGACACTCTCACTCTGGTAAGTATGTGGTGGTAATCTTAACCAAGTGGGACGTATAAATATGTCAAAAGTAAACAATATCGGGTAAAGGTAGGACATATGAATACGTCCTTGAAATATATGTTGTACCCTGGAATGAGAGAAACATATATTTTCAAACAACAAAGGTATTATTCATCCATATATATATCCTAGATGAATTTTCTTTTTAAGTTTATTGTTCTGTATTTGTTAACTTTTTTAGCCTTACCATAAAGTTAGTAAATTTCCCAACTTGTCCGCCAGTTCACTCCGAAACTTTCCGGCCCAAATTTTTGTCGAAGGATCTTTCTTTTGAATATAAGAATCTTCCCCTCCTCATCACTTGTGAGGGTCCAGGTCTCTGAACCATAAGCTAAAATGGTTCTAATAAGAATATTGTACAAGAGGCACTCAATATGGCAGGAAAAGTAAGAACTTCACAAATGATTTCTAAGACCAAAATAGCACCTGTTGGCTTTGATGAGTTGCTCACTGTTTCTCCAAAGATTCTGTTTCCACAACTCACTACTGACCCCCAAGGTACACAAATTAGTCAACATTCTGTAACGTGAATTGGCCCATCACTATGCCATCAGCTATCTCTGCTCCAGGCCCATCTCTCATATACTTACTCTTCTCCTGGTTTACACATAACTGCAGCCTCTGCCAACTTGAGAAAAGCTTCTCTTAAGGACTCAAGGGACTTAACACAATATACTGGTCATCAGCAATGATTGCTGAATCGCTGATAGTCCTAACTAGTAACCTTGTACATCATAAGTTGTTTCAAGTGGTGGTAGGTTTTTTTTTTTCTTGAATGGGGTGTAACTGAGATGCAAAATCCAAATTTTCAGCCTCACCGAAGGTTTGGTGGAAGAGGGGAAGGTCACTGTTCACAACCAGACAACCGAAATATAAATACAATTTTTATTTAACATACATTTACAGTGGTGTAAAAAGTCTTTTAACAAACCAAATTTTTATAAAAATATAAATGTTTCAATTTAAAAGTGTTTTTATCTTCTTAATAGTTAACTGATTTAACCTTGCAGACACTGTAGGTGTAACATATATTTAAACTTGCATTATTTTCAATTAAGAACAAGGCAATAAACCAATCCGTTGTGTTTTGTTTGTGTTGTGACATTTTTTGTCCTTTGAATAATACTACCTTTTTGTTAATATTTCACTACTTTGATATCTATTTCATAATGTGCTCTTTATTATAAACATCAAGAGCCATTGTATAAACTCTAGAAAGCTGATTGTATCTGTGAAAGTTGTTATAATATTGGAATTCTTCACTTTTTTTTCAGTAATTTAATTTAACATTCAAAGTTTCTTCTTTTTTTTTTTCCTTTTTCATAAAATTATAATTTTACGTCTGTAAAAAATATGATATTTTGCCATTTTCTGAAATAAAGGTAACGAACAATTTTCATAGATATTTCTTGGTTTTCATTTTCTCTCTTCCGAAATTGGGACAGAAGAACTATCATCTATTTTTTTACAAACTGCAGCAGGTGATTGCATAGCACTTCCAATGTCCTTCCATTCATCTTTCAAATTTATTTATTTATAATTTGAATCTCTAGGACTTCACAAAATAAGATATTTTTTATACAGTTCGATAAGTTTCATAAGCAGAAGGCATTTTTCATCCATCCACTCCAAGGGACAATGTTACACAAGTGACAAAGATTAGCTGTCGGCCGGCCACGAACTTTGTTAGAGGAGCAACTAACTTGAGTTCATGCACAAACTAACAGCCTTCGGAGCACTCTAATATGTTCACGAACTGTTACACACTTGGATCACTAAAACGTGTTAAATGCTTGGATTCGCATTGCTTCACAAACATAGTGGATACCCAGCTAAAGGAGTTATCCAAACCATCTTAGTTTGTTTGTTCTCTTCTAAAGTGGTTTCTACCGGCTGTACCAAACCATCTTAGTTTGTTTGTTCTCTTTTAAAGTGGTTCCTACCGGCTGTTCCTTGAGGTTTGATCTCATAGTTCTGCTGTGGATCCTGTCTCTTTTGGACTCTCTTCAACCTTTCTCAGGTACCTCATCTTCATTGACCGGATCTGCCCCTTGTGTTTAGAGATGAGGCTTCATTGATTTTGAGGAGTAAGAAAGGATGGGCAAGAATGTTGACCTGTTGGCAGATAGCTTTGTTTTCTTTGTCACCACTCTTCTGTTGAGGAAACCTTTCCGGATTGAGTGGAATATTTTTCCAGCTACTCCCAGTCTTTGCGACACCTTTCGATATCACAACTCTTATCGAACTAGGTACATAGATATTTAAAATCCTGTAGCTGTTCCAAGATATCTCCTTTCAATCTCAATATTTCATCAATTGATGGGGCTATCTTCCTATTCACATGCATTTTGGTTTCTTTGGATTAATATCCAAGTTGATGCTGGACAGCTCCTCTTGCATGATACTGACCTTATATTGTAGGTCATCGGCAACAGCTAGAATTTCATAAAAAGTAGGCTGTAGGTTCCTATGCCCAGGTTGAAAGCACTATCTGGATTTAGTTCTCCTCAGCATCTGATCCAGAACCAATACAAAAGTAGGGAACTTAGATTGCATCACTGGCTTATTCTCTGAGTCGTCTTTAACTCCTTATAGGTGTGGTTGTCAGTCCTTACTATATTTCTTGTTTTTCAATTGGAACTCCTAACAACCAGGATAATGCCAATATCAACTTGTCTTTCAGCAAATCAGCATTATCAAAACTAAATTAATTGAAGAAACTATACAAATCAAGGAACAATATCAGGTATACTTTCACTTGTATTGTTATTAAAAGTTATCATTACTTCTATTATTTAATATCTAACCACATGTTATAGATACCATTATTTCTATCAATTAATAGTATATTATAATATAATATTATATTAGGACTTCTAGACAAGGTTTCACCTTAGGATATTCAACACATAATATTTTCATTCCATTTCAGTACCTCCAGGACGATGAATATCCTAAAGGAGGTGGATTGGCTGATTTGCTTGGTCCTGCTCCATCGAATTGAGGGAAACACCTTTAATTCACATTTCTTTTACACTTTCATTCACTTCATTTACTACTTTTCGTATACATTTGATTTAAATGTTTGTTTATTAAATTTTGTGTTTCAATTTCGGTCGTCTGGTTGTGACCAGTGAACTTTTCTCTCATCAAATCTTCCTCCTCCTTCACTTCCCCTTCAAAATCTTGACATCACATTGCACTTTTGGCTATTGAAGTGAGAAGAAACCGCTTTTTCTTTTCCCCTTATATGCTTCCTCTCTTCCTCACTCCTTTAAGTTAAATTTCTACAAAACTAAAAATTTGTATGATGACAAATTTTCACAGCATTTGTTTGAAACTTCATGAACAAATCAGTACCAAAAAAAATTTTTAAGTCGACTTTCTGAATATTTTAACATCATAATCTCCCTACTTTTAGAAAATGACCTATGTAATTGATTTTCTGTGCTTTAAATGAAAATTAATATTTTAAGTTAATGTTTTCAATTTATTATTATGAATTATAAAACCTGAACTTTATCTTAATTTTTATAGGCTCAAGAATCATCCATTGTACGTTCTGCCTAGGCACTTACTTAAGTATGAAGCTATTTATCCTCGAGATGCTGTTCCTTTAGGCCATGTTAGAGGAGAGCCAGTGTTTTCTAGGTTTTGTGTCCAATCACTTTTTTCAAGAGAAAAATGGTTTAGACAAGGGAAATGCGTTAAATTGGACGAAGCACCTTACAAGCTTGTTAATTCTCGATCCAGAAGTGGGAAGGTAAGTTTTTTAATTTGAAAGAAATATTTTGAAAGTGAATTTAGATTTAATTCCCTCTCCTTTTTACGGTAATGATATGCTTAGGTTGAGCCTAAAATGAATTTAATTGTTCTTTATTTGAGTTAACGGAACAATGAAAAATTAATTTATTTTAAAATTAGATAGGACTACAAATTATAAATGTTAGTATTTATATGTGTTAAAAAGTAAATGTAATTGTTCTTTTCAGTTATTCAACTGGAAAAACAAAGAATTGATTTAATTTAAGAATAACATACATGTCCATACTAGGTTGTTACAAAAGTCATTGTGCAAAAGTACAGTTTTATTTCATATACATATTTTAAATGTTACTGAATACTACTCTTCAAAGTAAACTCCACTGTTTTTAACTACTTTCATCCATCTTTCTGTCAGTAATTGGATATGATGCTGATACCATTCCTTTGGTTTTGAGGCAAAGAACTCTTCATATCCAATTTTTATATCTAAGATTTGATCTCTTCAAAAATGAGCCATAGATCTAAACAAACCATGATCTGATGATGCAATACTATACTGCTTGCAGTTGATAGTTTCTGATAATTTTTCATTTGTCTAACGAAAATGATGTGCAGGAGCAATTTCATGCTGCAAAATAGCTTGGTTCTTGTTGACTGGGGTACTTTGCACTAAAAACTGCATAAACTCTGTCACTAGTGTCTAGGGAGCAAAATATTTTTGAGGAGGAGCAATTAGTGGGTCTGGTCGGCTTATACCGCCAACGATCGGTCTCCCCTCCCCTTCTCAACTTATTCAGCTGTTTCCACCCTGAGAAAGTGGAATAGGTTTGCAAACGTACGAGAATTGAATTCAATGGAAATAGAATGGATTTTATTCAAAATAAAGGAATAGATTTAGATTACAATTTTTCTGAACAATATGATTATTTCTCGTGGTTTTTATTAAATATTAATCACAACAAGCAGGCCTTTGAAAAATTTAAGAAAAATGAAGATTTTAGAAAAAATAAAATCTGACCTGACGTATTAAGTCGTAGATGGTAATGGAAGGTAATGAAAAAAAATTGTAATTAATAATTTCTGAAAACAATGAATATGTGATTGTATTTTAAGTGAATTAACACATATCTTTTTTAGACCTCGCATCACAGATTGTACATATTTTCAATTTTTGTTCAGACGTTAATAGATTTTCAGAATGAAATTTTCCATGTGTGTTCAGTGACATTTCGGTTTTAAAACATTCATGACACTTAAATATTTTATCATTAATAAAGTGAACGCTTTTTATATGTCTTTTTAAATTGTCCTTATGTCCAAAAACTTTATTACATGCATTACAGACGTACTGTAATTGTTTGGCATGAATATTTATGTGTCTTTCAAGACTGTACTGACTGTTGAATTCTTGGAAGCACACTCCACATCACTAGTTCTTTTACTTGTCATGAATTAATGAGTGTTTCACCCAATTACTTTTTTTAGCAAATGATTTATTCCAACTTCGGTAATAAAAAAAAAATTAAGACAATATTTGAAAATCAGACCAATTAATAAAAAAAAAAGGATAGTGTTAAAAGTAATGAACAATGGATTATAAAAGTAAATAATAGTTGAAATTAAAAAAAACAATTGATAAAAAAAAAAAAGAAAATGATGTGTTAAAAGTAAAATTGAAGTAGAGAACACAAAGAGAAATGCCAAGGGCAAGAGTTTAGAGAACACAAAGCCGACTGTAGTAGGTTGAACTGAGAAGGGAAGAGGAGACTGAGCGTTGACGGTATAAGCCGACCAGACCTGTTGATTGCTCCTTCTCAAAAATATTTTGTTCCCTAGACACTAGCAACTCTGTCTAGCTGTGTAACTGCCTGACCATCAGAATCAAGCACAAAATGCAAAACGACTCTGAAGTTCCATCGACAAATTCACAAAATATGAAGCATCAGTTTTTTCCTAAACCGATCTTGGAAAACTTCTGGTTGTGCAGCTTCACCTGACCGTACCCATTTCTTATGTTCGCTAGGTTTTTTTTTTTAAATATCCACTTTTCATCACTTATGATAATATTTTTCCAGAATCTGTCATCTTTCAGATTTGGAAACAAAATTTTGCAAATACAAGGTGGTGACCGACTTGGAAAACCTGGAAAAGTCCCGGAATTTTCAAAACCTGGAAAAGTCAGGGAAAAATTGTTGAAGTCAGGGAATTTTTTTAATTCGAAAATATTCTTTTTAAATTGGAATTAATATTCAGTGGATTAATATAACGAACGATCTTAAGAGACCTGGTAAATTTCGTTGTTACAATGTATAATTATTATAGACGACCGGACCATCTTCATATTTATATCCTTATATAACCGATATCTATCCACTTGTCACTGTCAATAACGGCCCTGGCCATTATATTGGAATTAAACAAGGGTAATGAATAAAATGTAAGCAAAATAGAGTTAAAGCAGTGCTTTTTAAAAAAGAAAAATATAACGATACTATTCACTATCTGTAAGTATACATCTATTTTTTGGTTAACAAAAGGAGAACGTTGGCAGCTTCACATAATTGATGCTTAGGTAGAGTCGTAATATGCGAATAAGCAAAATGTTGTTGGACCGCTCGGACTTTAAAACTCATTTTGGTCCTTAATTTTTTGATGATTGTTATGGATATCAACAGTATATGTAAAAGCTATGTAATATGTTCTGTTATAAAATAGTTAAATTAGCCGAAAAGAAAGCATTGAAAAGATTAAAAGCACTTAGTTTGTGAACGGCAGATACTACAAGGAAAATACGACTTCGATTCTCTGAGCTTCAACAGCCGTTTAATCTTCTTGCATATTAACTTGTCTGTATGAGGTACATACGAAACTTAGTGCTCTTTCAAATTGATTATATTGAATTTCTTCGATACCTGCATAGATTATGAGTTTTGGGGAAAAACCGAATTCTAGAATTTAAAATGGTTACTAGCTATAAGTTCTTCCTTTAAATAAAATATCGGTAGTTCCTTGTCTAATAGCAGAATACTGAGGAGAACCGATTTTGTCGTGAGTAGATAGGTATGTTGATTTCATTAATGGTTTATGGGTTTCTTATTAAGTATATAACATTGAATAAACCACAAGCCTTTTTTAAACTAAACAAAATCAATCTTAATAAACTAACAACACAACTTCATAGAAAGAACAGGGTTATAACTAAAACATGTGTTTTATGTATATATCTTATATATATATATATATATATATATATATATATATATATATATATATATATATATATATTTATATATATATCTTATATAAATTTATATAATCGATATAACATATGATTGATTTGTAATTAATATTAATAAAATTACTTTTAACACAACCCCTTAATTTTATTATTATTAATTTTATTTTATTTGAGATCAAACTTACAAACAAAGATATTTTTCTATAACATTTTAAAATAAATAAGAACTGCTATTGAAGTTAACAAAAAAGTTGTATAAAGAGAAATTAATTACAAATATTTACATTAAGTTTTTCAAATTTTAAATTGCCAAGTGGCTTTGTCAAAATATCAGCTAGCTGCATTTCGCTTGCACAATGAACGAAATTTACATTGTTCTCATTAGAAACGTCTTTCAAAAAATGATAACGAACATCAATGTTCTTATGAGAAGGAATTAGTCGAGGGTGCGGTCAAAAAAATTTTTTTGACCGCACCCTCGACTAATTCCTTCTCATATCATATCAACGGTCAACCAACTCTACATCATTATCAATGTTCTTACTTCGTTTGTTCTTAATTTTTTTGAGTTAGTCTCAAGCCTCCTTCTTTTACGACCAATTCCATGCCCAAAAATGTAGTTGGGTTTTCTTCAATAGTTATTTGGAACTCTTCCTTGAGTTTTTCAAGAAGCTTTAAAAGTTGTATTTTATCAATGCCTGTAAAATAATTCATCATCTACGTATATTGCAAGAATAACACTTCTATCATTGTTCACATAAACACACTGATCAGATTTTAGTGCAAACAAACCTTCATTTTTTTAAAAGTTTGTAAACCTTTTATTCCAGTTAAAGGATGCTTGTTTCAATCCATAAATTGTTTTTTTGTAATTTGCAAACATGGTTATTTTCTTCATATCCCTCAGGTAATTTCATATATAATTCTTCATTTAGATCACCATATAGAAAGGCAGTTTTAATATCAAATTTCAAAATATGATGTTGATTTTTAATTGTTGTTGCCAATACTATTCTTAGCGATTCGTTACAGACTACTGGACTGAAAGTCTCATTAAAATCCAAACCATATTCCTGCTCAAAACCTCTCGCAACGAGTATTGCTTTGTATTTTCCATTGTCTTTAATTTTAAAAATCCATTTATTACTTAAAATCTTTTTCTCTTTCACTTCTTCTCTTTTTACTAAGATCCAGGTTTTATTCTCTTTGAGGGAATTCATTTCTTCATTGATGGCCTCTATCCATTTTTGTTTTTCAGGACCATTGATAGCTTCATTGTATATAAGTAATACAAAATCTTCAAGCTTTTCAGGAGGTTTTTTAATTCTTTTTCCACATCCATATTGATCTAATTCAAAAACAGGATTTTCAACATCATTTCTTTCACCTTCTAAACTATTCAATTGGGTTTTACTTGCTTCTTTCAATTGTTCCACAACGGCATCTGCAGTACATCCTTCTGTTGATTTGTCATCTACTGTTTCCAAGATTTCTCTCATCTTCTTCTAACTGCACCTCATTTTCTTCTTTATCTTCTGAAATATTGTCTTGTAAGTGGATTTTAAATATTTGTCGATCCGATGAAGACCTTTCATTCACCATTTCTGTTTTAAACACTACATCTCTGGATATAACTATTTTACATTTTTCAGGGTCCCATAGTCTATACCCATTTAGAGAATATCCTGCGAATATCATTTTTTTACTTCTTCTCTCCAACTTTTTTATATGTCTTATTTGTTTCGCAAAAGCAGTAGTTC